ATAATAATAATAATAATAATAATAATAATAATAATAATAATAATAATTATTATTATTATTATTATTTAGTGCCTAAATATTATGGCACTTTGTACAACAACTGCTATTTGTTTAATGATGAAGTTTCTATATGTGTTAAAATATGTTGGAGTCATTTTTGAGAATTTATGGGATTTATGTTTTTGTTTCACCTCCTTTTATCTGCAAATCAAACCATTGCATTGCTTTAAACAGTCAGAGTTAGTCTAATAACAAAGTTAAGTCAGGTCCTCTGGACAGATTCAAAAAATAAAAATAATTAAAAAATGTTTTTTGTTAATCGTTGAAACCTTGAAACATTGTGAAAAGTCTGAGTTATGCTTGCAGCTACTTTAACCTATGATGATGGACATGGTGACCCCAAACTTATAAGTATGCCTCTATTTGTGCTAAATTCAACAATAATTTATTTAAAATTATTATTATAATTATTGAATTATGTATTTTTTGTTGAACTTAAAGGGAGCCAGATAGTTGCAATCAGCAAACATCCAATTATTCTAATAGAAAATCAGAGCTCTGGCACTAAATCTCATGTTTAATTACAGAAATGTTGTTCCAAAACGATTTTAAATTACAAAAGTTGTTCACAAGCTAAAAATGTTTGATGCAAAAGCTCAGCAAATCTTTAACTATGTCAAAATGGTTTTAGTTTACTAACCATTTTGGAACACTTACCATAAAATAATCAAAAAGCAGCCAATTATTTACAATGCCAAACTTATGATGACTGTATATTTTACTATTAGAAAAAAAATGGTGTATGTAACAATATGACGTTCCCAACACTGACTGAATCATGGCAATCATATAAACAGAAAAGCATTGTGTCACTATAACTAGACAAAGTTCAACACGTGTTCTTTAAAGATCTAAAATGTAAAGAGCTAAAAGCAACTGACCTTCAGAAAGAGTATATAATTAATTCTAGTGGAAAGGGAGAACATAACAGATAACCATCACTGTGTAACTCCAGTGCCTTTATGGAGTGTGTTTCAGTTTGATTTTTTTTTTTTTTTTTTTACTTAAAGGGAGCCAGCTAGGTGCAATCAGCAAACATCCAATTATTATGATAGAAAATCAGAGCTCTGGCACTAAATCTTGCATCAATTAAAAAAATTAAATAATGATAATTATTATTATTATTGCAGGTTTAAGTATTGTTTAATTAGCCATTTCTATTTTAGCTCTTTGTTACAAACTCACCTGAAAGAGTTTAAAGCCTGGAACAGACATGATGACTGATGTTTAAACTTTCTTTAATTACCAATGCTGCTGCCTTCTGTTAAATAATTCTAATGTGGACAGATTGGTGTTTTAAAAGATGATTAGCTCATAAATGTCTGATACTGACTGTTGTATTCCATGAAGACTAGGTTCCTGAATTATTGTCAAGATAAGACATAATACAAAAGTGCACTAAAAGTTGAATAAATACAGAAAAAACAATAGAAATAATATATATGTGTGCAGCAATTTGACTTCACAATTTGCATCAGTTTAAAAGAAATAGGCCCTACTTTAGTTTGTTTATTTACCTCCACAGTGACATTTGGTCATATTCATACAGACTTTCTCTGTGCCAAATGTATAAGTGTCAAACTACAAAATGTTGTTGTGGTTTATTAAAATTCACAAAATGTACATTGTTTTTCTTATTCTTGTTTATTTATATAGTTCTAACCTAAAAAGCACATTTAGCACAATTCAGTATTTACATTTACAGGTGGTCTGAGGTTTTCTCCACAGGTTTTTATTGCAAATACAGAGCATCACGTCTCATATCTTCATATGGAAAATGAGGCATGGAATAGCAGGTGGTCCACCCCGTCAAATCATCGATGTTAGGATGATCTAAATGTCCTTGATCTGTCTCTGACTGTCCACTGACACCTGGTTGATAAATGTTGGCAACTTTCCAATCACCGATGTGGCTGGTTTTGGTCTGATGGGCACACACAGCTGATGGTCTCATTTCTTTGTGTTATTTCTCTTTTTTATAGGCTAGCATTTGACATTTTACAAAGGCTACTGTAAGGACTGATTTATTTATTTTTTGTTTCCTTTTTTGTCACATAAAAAAAACAAACTCTATTGTCAGATAATTGGCTAAAAAATGTAAAAACTGAAATCATATTGGAATTTAAAAAAAAAATGTGGAAGATCAAGCATATATGTACAGCGAACAACCTTTAAAAAAGGAAAATAAAAAAACGAGAATATTTCTAATGATAAAAAGACTAGAGAAGTGCTTATTTCTCTTTTGTTTCTCACACTGTTAAATCAACTTCATGCATTATTTAATAACCATATTCTTTCTTCTTCTTCTTCTTCTTCTTTCGGCTGCTCCCTTGTGCAGGGGTCCCCACAGCGAACTAAGTCCCACGAAGACTTGGCAATTATTTTTATGGATGTCCTTCCTGATGCAACCGCAGACCACTGAGCTACCACAGCCCTCTGTGTGGAGCAGAGAGCTGCTATAGGGCACCAGGGGTAGCATATGGTGGAGGTTAAGTGCTTTGCTCAAGGGCCCAGAGTGGGGCAAATGAGGGTAGAAGCAGGTGTGAGAGCTTGACCTATCCCAACCAACATTTTGATGTTGTCGGTCCAGCGACCTTCCAATCACAGGCTCGCATTCTCTACCCTTCTCTACCCCCATTTAACAGCCACGTTGTTTTGTGAAAATTATGCAATTTTACATTTTATTGCAGGAAGAGAAAAGTGTTCTGTTATGAAAGAGGTAAAAAATAATCACAAAGTGAATTTCAATAGAATTCCACCAAAAAAAAAAAAAAATCTCTTTGAGTTCCTAATTGAAGTCCACTTTGGGGATACATTAAAAAGAGCCTTTTGGATGACTGAAGAGGGAATAAAAATCTCTAATGCTTGCATCATTCCAACTAGCTATGTTTTTGATAAATTAAAGATTTTCTGCAATATTTCTGAGTGTTCTTTAAACACTTTAGTGCTATAAAAAGTGGAAAACATTCTGCAGGATATGACCTCAACGTGATAACTTATAACTAAGTGAAATGCGTGTGTGATGAACTTGTTCTGTGCTGCTATCACACTCAGCTGAGCATAATTCTGTTCAAAGTAAATGTCATCTTCAGCCTGTCAGCTGACACTGTAATTCAGACTGGTGGTGGTGTGGCTTTGACTTTGTCTGCTATGATGCTGGCAGCGAGCTGATTACTTACGAACATTCATCAGTGCGGGGGCATCACCTGGCCTGCTGCCACCTGTCTGCACTCTCATTGTCACCTCAATCTGTTAAAAGGCATTGAGGAATTGGGAATCATTCTAGGACCTGATGGCCATGACAAACAGTGTCATCAGACCCTTCTATAAATATTGATGTTATCACGGGCCCGTGGTATGAAGCTGGAGGCGCAGTCCAGAAATCCACCCTGCTTCACGTTGCCAGATTCATCCATCCTTGTTCTACAACAACTGCTGCTTTTGTGAACGGTCCTTATTTCTTGCTTTTGACCTTCAATGGATTACAAGAAAAACTGTTTTATTTGCACCATCTACCTCGATCCGCAACAGTTTAAGACTCTTTACATGGGAAAATGCGAAACATGCTGTCAACACAAATACTCATGACGTGCATTTAGTCATTTTTTATTTTTTTTGTAGCTCAAGAGAAAACAAACAAACAAAAAAAAATTCAACACATATATATAAGGCAGGGGTGCCCAAACTTTTTCCCTGAAAGGGCCAAATTTAAAATCTATCAGAAGATTTGGGTCAAATGCAATAATATAATACATGAAATGCAAATACATTTTTAGGTAAAGTCCATTTATTTATAATATAGTTATTTAACCTTCCATTCTGTATAAAGTGCATCACAGAACACAATATATAACAAATAAGTAATTTATAAGAAATTAAAGCAAATATTGAAATTTTGGCATTTCATTATAATTATATGTAGAGCAAAATGTAAAAAAATGCATCTCCAACAGCAACACAACCTAAGAGCAACAACAATATGAACATAAATAAACAGTCCCATATTTACGGTAGTCACTGGGCTGACTTTTCCATCTAACATTAAAGTCAATGGGTTGAATGACTGACACATTGATTCTTGAAAGGAAATTTTAATATAGTAACAAGGACTGCTTGGCGGGCCAACTGTGGCCCACAGTCCCCACTTTGGTCACCTCTGATCTAAGGCCTGCTTAGATCATTGCTCTTTACGTGTAATACAACTCACCACTTACATTTAACCTCACACTTCTCAAGAGCAAAGAGAATAATAGTAAAAACAACAACAATAACAACGTTTCATAAATCCAGTATGTGCAGTTTAGAAAAGAGGAATGTATATGTGGATATGTGGTGGGAGAGATTGAACTGTCAACCTTCTGATTGACAATTATCTGCTCCTCCCACTGAGCCTCAGGCACCCCACGCTTTGAGATAGTTTTATTAGGCGTTTTATGGGGCTCCTAGTGCTGTGATAACTCACATTCTCAGTTATGTCTTCCAACTCATGAACTGCACAATCCTTTACATGCATGTGCCAACTGGGCCCACGCTACACAAACCAGGAATTAAAGACCAGCTTGGCTGCTGATGTCTGCTCACAAATCAGTAAATGTTAGTAGAGTTCTTGTTCATAGACGTTAGATGAAAAATCTTTGACCACAAGTGGCAGGAATAGGGAAGACATTCAAGATATATTCTGGCGAGTACTACTTTTTAAACTACAAATGCAATGTTGTGACCTCGAATGCTAGTAGCTCAGAGTGGTCTGTGCCT